AGAGTTGGGAGGAAGAGCATGAGAAGAAGATTAACATTAAACAGGGACGAGAGATGGGAGGGAAAAGGAGAGAGAAGGTAAATTGCATGGAAATGGAAGGAGACCCGAATGGTTATACAAAATTACATACAAGAGGAAGTGAGGAAAAAAGGGGAAAAAAACAAGGGGGAGAAATGAATTACAGTAGATGGGGTAGAGAGAGAAAATGGGAGGGGAGGGAAGGGGATGGGGGATAGTAGAGGATGGGAAAGGCAGCAGAATACAACAGACACTAGTGTAGCAATATGTAAAACAGTGGATGTGTAACTGATGTGATGCTGCAATCTGTGTACAGGGTAAAAATGGGAGTTCATAACCCACTTGAATCAAAGTGTGAAATATGATATGTCAAGAACTATGTAATGTTTTGAACAACCAACAAAAAAAATAAAGAAAAAAAACTATTATTATTATTATAAATAAAAATATTATTTATATTTTAAATAATATGAAAAATAACATTTAATTTAATTTAAAATTTTAATTTAATTTAATATTAAAACTAAAAGAAACACAGACTGTGAAGAAATATTTATACATCATAGATTTGATAAAGGACTTATAGCCAAAGTATATAAAAATGTCTTTAATTCAATAATACAGGAAGAAGACAAATTACTTAATTTTAAAATACACAAATGATTAGAATGTAAGAAGGCATACGACTGGCCAATAACTAACATAAAAATGATAAACTTGATTAATCATGGAAATGTCAATCAATACCACCTTCCCCCATTAGAAGGACTGCAATCATGAAAACACTGATGTTGGCAGGGATGGAGAGACCCGAGAACTTCATACATTACTGGAGGGATGTAAAGCGATACAAACACTGGAAAACAGTTTACAGTTTCTTTAAAGCTAAACAAATTATCATATGACCCTGCAGTGACATCCTTAGGAATAGACCCAAAAGAAACAAAAACCTACATTCACACAAAGACCTGTTCACAAATGTTCATAACTCATAATGGCAATGAGTGGGACCAAGTCACGGTTCATGAGCTGGTGTCTAGATAAATAAATGCCTCTTTTCTACAAAACAGAACAATATTCAGCAATAAAAATGCATTAAGAATTGATGCATGCCACAATGAACTCCATTATTCTGTGTAGTTAAAATGCACTAATAATTTTTAAAAGCATCAATACCTGCTACAAAAGGATAAACTCAAACACATTATGCAAACGAAGGAAAACACACAAGATGTGCATTGTATAGTTCCATTTATATGAAATGTAGGGAAAAATTATAAATGTAGAAAACCAATCAGTGACTGCCTGGGGCTGGGAATGGAAACAGCCATGAGGAAAGTACTTTAGGGGTAATAGAGATCTTCCAAACCCAGATTTGGGTGATGGATGCACAACTCTGGGAATTTACCAAAAATCAACTAGCTGTGATTTACAATGTACATGAATTTTATGGTATGTAATTTACTGTTCAGCAAGACTGTTGAAAAATAAGTCAGTAAGGGGATCTTACTAAAAACTGATAAAAGTAAAACAAGCTTACAATGAAGAGCACCAGGAAAAGATTCCAAGTTTTTTTAAAAGAATCTTAAAAAAAAAAAACATTTGTTGACCAGGGATGTAGCCCAATGGTAGAGTGTTTACCTGTTATGTAAGAGGAGCTGGGTTTAGTCCCCAGAGCCACAAAAATAAAAATAAAAAACTATTGGGTAATACTTATGTCTCACTAAAAAATTAATAGAAATACATAAATGGGGACAGCTTGTCTTTTTTTTTTTTTGAGAGAGAGAGATAGAGAGAGAGAGAATTTTAACATTTATTTTTTAGTTCTCGGTGGACACAACATCTTTGTTTGTATGTGGTGCTGGGGCCCAGCCTCACACATGCCAGGCGAGCTCGCTACCGCTTGAGCCACATCCCCAGCCCCGACAGCTAGTATTCTAAAAGATTTTTAGTATTTACGTTCCAAAACCTAAAAAAAAAAAAAAAAAAGTGTAGGAGTACTGATGGCTGCAACATCTATCTCCTCAATTTATTACATGCATTTCCAATATCAAAATGTTTATGGAACATAACAGTGGATTATGTTTGACTGGAAGGTGAAAACAAGGGAATCCTCTGGAATATCGTTTCATTTTGCTCTGGTTTTTGCATTTTAATTTACCTTTCCCTAATGTGTTTCTAAGTTCCCTCCCCTGTGTGCAGTTTACCACAATATCTGCTGAAAAGAAAAAGGAATGCACACATTGAATGATTCTCGTATTTTACTTGTATAATATGCCAAAATACTGGAACCAAAGAGACCCCTAAAATCCCAAGAAGAATCCACTCTCTTTATCCAAGATTCCCCTTCTCCCCACTGATGCACAAGACTTTACAAGACCTTCATTTACTTCCAAAGGAAACCCACAGGGAGTCTCAACGAGTTTGGGTCTGATTCACATTCTGCAGGACACAAACAAAAGGACGTTCACCTCCAAGGAAAATCATAAATACACATTATTACGTCATAAAATCACAGGTTTAACGTTAGGATTGGAAGGCCAGCAGCTAAAGACGCAAGCGCACGGAAGGTCTCCAGGATCCTACCGCTGCCCCCACACTGCTTCCTCATCTCCAAGGTCAAGGCCACGACTTTCTTAGGGAGAAGAAAATCTGCCAAAGAAGAGGACACTGTCGGACCCGCGGTGCCTGATGAAGAACAGGAAGGGGTGATCACAGTGGACTTGCTCACAGCCCCCGGCCGATGAGACCATGTAACCTATGCCAGTGGCCACCGTGGCCTCCGCACCTTCCTCGGTGACCTGCACAAAGGACCGGTGCAGGAACCTCTGCGCCTGCAGCCCCGAGCGCGCGCACATCCCAGAGAAGTCCGCATCGCTCTCGCTGAAGGCCGCGCCCAGCCCCAGGGCTCCCAGGACCGGCTCCAGCTCATAACTGCCCTCCACCTGCAGCCTGGGCAAGCGCAAGTTCACGGTCCTGACCTCCATAAACTCCAGCCTGGTCCACTCTATCAATTGCTCAGGAGTGACTTGATCTATAATCTGGTTTTTAAGAGGGGGAGGAAAGCAGATTGGCATGATGGTGGATAAAAATTTAAAACGGCAAGGTACCGATTTGTATCAGAAATTGTTTTCGTAATAAATAAAAGTGAAACTTCATTTTACCGTGCTGCTGTCACTATATAGCAGGCATTTCTATTTCTCTCCTTAAATTATCTGTGTGTGGGGGAAATCTCAATGTCATTGAATTAATTTTTAAACATTAAAAGTAAGTCATGTCTTATTCTAGCAACTTGATACATATTTCATTTTTTTACCAATTCCTCCAGTTTATATGTGCACATATATTTACACAGTTGCAATCACAGTGAATGTCTACTTTATGTAATTTAAGTTTTTCACTCTATTGCATATCTCGCCTAAATACCTTCAGATTGATAGATAATATTGCCATCAAGCTGATACATTTCATCTCTTCATTCACTTTACAAACATTAGTATGTACCAGGCATTATGATAGATGCTAATACTGCAAATATTAAAAACAGTAGGTACTATGAATTTCCAACTGGGTAGCCTAATGTATTCAATACTGAAATTACTGATTTGACTCAGAAGGGAAATTTTTATCTTGTGAATTATTTCCTTAGGGTAATTCTCATACCTGACATATGAGAATGAATACTCTTAAAGAACTCATACATATTGCCACTTGGCTCTCCCAAAATATTTCCATCTTATAAGGCTACTAGCACAGTTTCACAGCAAAGACTAAATTTGGTATTTTAACCATGCAGCAGCTACCATTTATTGAGTGCTTTCTATACCCTCCACCATTCAAGGCTCCATCTCCCTAATCATACAACACTACATATTAAGCACCATGAAGCCTGATTTATGCCTGGGAAAACATTGAGATTCAAGAAAGGTAAGAAGGGTCAGTGGTCAGAAAGCTACTAAAGGAGCAGGGATTTGAATCGAAGCCTTCCTAAGGTCCAGAACACAGGACATTAGCCACATTCACATTTTAACTGCAAAGTGGGTGAAAATATGCTAGAAATGAGTGAATGTGATTTTATTTTCCAAGAAAAGGATCCATGTCATGGAATCTTTAGAACTCTTACTGAATCCTAAATGTTCATTTTAGCTCCCCCCAAAAAATCTGAGTACTGGTTACTCCCAGGGAGCCTGATACCATTTAGTGTTCCCTGCAGAGCTCCACTGTGGCTGCAGAGAGGGAGAAATGCTCTAGTGAACACAGCCAGGCACCAGCTGCTACTCAGACACCTGCTTCCAGACTCATGGAGCACAAGTGTTGGATCAAAAACTTAGGAAAGGAAAGCACAGTAGGGACCAAGGGGTTTACCTTCTCCAGACCCTCTATGTCATTGGGTAGAAGCACAAACATGCTGAGGTCAT